CAGGAATCTCTAGAGCTAATCTAATCTAGAAAATTAACTACCTCCTTGATACCAAATACATAAGGACCATCACTACTCAAGTGGTAGCATTCCAAAGAAATACCAACACTAAAACACACCAGGGTGTTCTAACACCACCGCTCTCTGGCAACAAGCTCTGGTAACTAAATGACGAGCAGCCATATCCCTGCAATAACCACATGCTTTTCCACTTAACTGGAGGATGACATATATACGTCTACCACATGTACCTGAAGTTTATTTATTTGCTTCCCCATTTCTGTGAAATCTGATTCGCATTTAGCTTTCAGTTAAGATTTTATGCTTGGGTTTGATACTTGCCTTGTTTGCCATCTGTGCCTTTATGCAAATTCTGAATATAAGACTGATTTTTATATCAGGTTTCATACCACCAGGAAGTGTCCTTTTCTTTTTAGTATTATTTACCTCCAATATTAAAATCTGCAATACTGCTAATTTTCTTGTTTTGGTTAGCAGCGTATGATACTGTAGAATTTATTTTATATAAACAGAGAAAACAGGTCATTCTCATGAGGTTTAATTTTTATTTATTAATTGTACTAGAGTGATAGATATAGATATGGCTAATACATCATGTTAGGCAATGCACAAATATATAACAATAGAAATTATACAAGACAAAGTATTGTGCAGCATGTTATAAGAAGGAAATATAGGCACAGCAAGACTTAACAACTATTATATGGGAACTATGTGACAGAAGCAGGAATTGTCTCCCATGTTCCAGTACAAAACAATGGCCAACAGATCATCTTTCATCTTGTTTGATATGGATGTGATCAAAAGCCAATTCAAATCCATATCTGGTCATTGTATAATCTAAAAATTGAAACATAATCAGATCCAAGATATTGTCTGTGTAGGTACTAGAGCTGACTAGTATTTATAAGAAATCAGGGTAGATATGCATCTTTATAGACTAACTAAATAAGATACATATATAAAACACAAACTTGAGTGCACAGAAGTTCACTTCATCAAATGATGTGAAAAGATGTGCAGAAAGCAGAGTATGAGAAGGAGAATGAAATTAGAAAAGAAATTAGAATACAAAGCACAAGGGACGGGAAAAAGAGAGAGAAACACAACTTATTGTTTGTTTGTGAAAAAATATCTTAGAGTTAAACATAGAAAGTTTTTGAAAAATCCTGGCATTTTTTAAATTTTCTTTTTTATTAAAAAAGTCCTTTATTTTTTCAATTAAATTTTTTAAAAATGAAATGACCTGAAGAATTCACTGTATTTGAAAGCTTGTCTAAACTTGTCCCTAAACATTCAGTTGGTGCAATAAAAGATATCACTCACAAAAATCCTTGTCTCTTTTCTAAAACAAAGTCACTGAAATAGTTAAACTATGAAATACTTTAAATGTTTACCAAGAGGGATTCATAAAATGTTATACAATTCAGGTGGCTGGAGAAACATATTAAATCAAATTTTGTGGCAGAATTTGTGATTTTGTACTTAGCCTCATATACAGTAAAAGTTCTAAAGAGAGAACAGGAGGTGCTTCCTTCCATTTTCTCCCTTTAATTGATGTGAACTAGTTCCTCAGTCAGAATCCCTTGCCTCTATTTGTCTGTAGGTTTTTTTTGGTAGTGTAATGATGTCAAGCACAGATGCTTTACAGCTGTGTAGTCACAAGATTACATGACGTATGAGCAAATGTTTAAACACAAACTGATGTCCAAAAATTAAATTATAAACCTTTTTTGGTAGCAGCAAAATCAGAAACACAGCAGGAGCAGCAACATTCTCTCAAACACTAGTTAGCATAAATGCAGCAACTCGCAAGTAGCATGCTGGTGCTAAAGGGAAAAAATGTTGCTACTATGTTAAAGCATAGATTTTTTTCAAGCACCACCAGTGTTACCCTCAACATATCTACAAGATCACAGCCTCTTCCTCCTCCTAGTGCAGTCTCCAGCTTAGCACCAGCTCCAACATAGCTTGATTTCACGAGTAACAGCAGATAGTCACGGGACTATACAGATACAAAACCGGTAAATATAAAGTAAGGAGGATACTATATAAGGAAATAATAACGTGGGAAATATAATTTGTCTCAACATCCCATTGACCGATTGTATGCGACAAAAAGGTAAAACCACTCCTGCACAATCAAATACAACAGAAACAAGATAGAAATATCTATTGATTTAAACTAGTTGCAAGTTGTTTGGTGTTGTTTATCTGGCAAGTGGTAACAGCTTATGCATCCTGAGGTTATGTCCCCTTCATCCACTCTTCTCTTTTGCCCTGTGGTAGCCTATTTACTAAATTAAGTAAATGATCAGAAAAAAAATATAGTGCACACCCTGCATATAAAGCAATCATTGATGGGTTTTCTGTATAGAGCTATTCATATTTATCACTGCTCAAACAATCTTTTCATATTATCCTTTTACACCCAGTCTTGCTCTTCAACATCATTACTACCAATTACCACCCAGCACTCTGCAATCACATAGATGCAGAAGTGTTTGCATTTTAATGAAGACAAAGGCATGTGGAGTGGTAGGTATGGCTATAGGGAAATATAGCACTTGATGTACTAAAAACACAACTGAGGTAGATTTTTGGGCTAGGGACAGAACTTACAAATAAACCGGTTTAAGTAATCAGAAACTGGTTTAAACTTGTAACAGAAAAGAAGCTCAATGCACATAAACCAGTTTTAAAATGGCTGAAACTGGTTTAAGGTAAACCTGGTTGAGTGTAGTATCAGACTTCACTGATTTGGGTCCAACCGGTTTATGAAACTTCTGTCCCAGACCTAGGGGAGACTCATCAGCTTAAAGGAAAATTGGAACATGAACCAGGACTTTCCACATACCCATCGTCAGCTGCCCAACCAGTGAAATGTCTATATAAGCAGAAACGACAATGGTACTTAGCCAGAGGTATAACAGCGTAGCTTAGTGCCCAGGGCAGTTGTAGCTCCCAACTGTAGTGGTGTGGCCAGTCAGCAGTGAAGACAGTTGTTATTTCTCTGCCCTTGTCCCTGCACCAACCAAGCAATACCCCAGGGCTAATGCCCTGCTCCCATAGCTCAGTTATGCTACTATTCTTAGCAGACAACCATGAACCTTTGGTATGCCTGTATCTTCATTCAGTCTTCTTGCAAGCTGGGAGAAAACCCAGCATGTCCTTTAACCACCACTACACCAGCTTCAACAATTTGACTCTCTCTAATGGCCCAAACTTGCCATTTATCTGAAATAGGGCCGTCCTGAAAGGGTTTTCTATGTTACACACTGAAGAGCAGTGTAGAAATATGCAAGCTAACACTAAATTTAGCAGTAGTTTATATACTGGAAACTTTCTAACTATAATAGCATACAGTTCCTCATGGCCTAATTTATGAAGGGTAATTCCCACAGCAAGCTAAATTAGACCTTATGGACCTCTGCACTACTGCAGTTAGGCTGCTTCTGGTACTTTAGCCAGATTATTTAGTGTTGTAAGGGAAGTAGAAGTGATACTGTAACAGACAAAGATTTAAGATTTGAGACAGATGATTTTTGAGAGAGAAAACTCAAGTGCAATTAAATCGGTTGGTGTTTCATAGATGAGATTGTTGAAATAGCATTAGATTAAGAGCCCCAGGATGGGTGATATTAGACTGCAGCTTTACAAGTCCAGATATATAGCTATTATATAATGGTCTATGCAGCTCCTCCTCAGCATTGCACAAAATTGGGACCTAACATATGAACAAACATTTTCAATGCCAGGACAAAGGCAGTTCAGTTCACTTTTTGTTATGTAATGCACCTGCCCATCATTTTATTAATGTTCAGAGTTCGTGCACAGCTAGTTTAGAGTTAAATTTAGAATTAAGGCAGAAAAACCAACAGACCTATGAAAAAATTGGGTTGCAGGCCCATCAAGTCTGCTTATACCAGGCCATTCTGAAACTGGTCTTTTGTAACTTCTCAGGAGAGGCCTCAGAAGTTCTGCAATTACTTGTGAACAAGCAGATTAATATTTCATGCAATTTATTCATTACAGGTAATGTTTCCACTCAATTTTCAGTAAGCATAGAAGGGAATAAGTAAATCAAGCCCTAACAGCATCCAGCTTTTAAAGAAATATTCTGAATAGTACTGAAGAATGGAGTGGAAGGTGGATACAGGATGGTCAATAGAAATGAAGAAGAGTTCAAATCAAAACAAAAATTACCAGCAGATACCTTAATTACAGGGCAATGCAAAAAAGGTCCAGAACACTTAGTTAGAAACCCTTAAAGACACGAAGGCTAATTTCCGAACGGGTGCATATGGATTTAGCTGTATATATTCCTTAAGAAATAATGGGAGTTACATAGCTTCAGCTCTTCATACCTGTTAAAACACATTGCCCAAGATAAGATATTAAATTTAAAAGTTGTGGGAATGTGTATGTGCATGCATGTCTATCTAAAAATCAATCCTATGTGCAACATTTCCCATTACATAGGAAACAGCTTACTGCTAAATAGTTAGTTATGTAGTGGCTAACATTAACTTTGCAAGTTACAGAAGCCTTATGTTATCACTGATCAGGTATACTGTTATATCTACAACTGCACAAATAATCAGAAATAGATAAC